CCCAAGACCCAATTGAAGGAGATAATCAAACCTTCAATTGCTTTTGGAGAAAGTTTGAAGCGTGTTCTATGAGTTAACGGGGAGTGAAAGTCAAAATCTCGATCAAATTAGCTCCAAGGGACATGATATTTGACTAAAACGCACCGAATTCGGAGGAATTTAGAACAACCTCCAAAACATACGTAAAAGCGCATCAAACGATTTTGATGTCTTCAAGGCGGCCTTTGAACAATTTGAAAAAACAACGCCAATCCGCAAAGCTTTTAATTATGTGAAAGCGTGGCTAAATTTTAAAGACGTCCAAAATGGAAACAATAAACAGAAGGAACTTCACAAACCTTTTCCGGTTGAAAGCGTTCAAGAAACTCGGATGCAACTTCCTAACAATTGGATGGGCGAACACACATTGACATCAACGATGATCCGCTCGATCTTGAAGACGAGCAACCTCTTTGTCAGCCGATTGGAAGAACTAAAGCAAAAAAAAATAAATAAAGCAAGTTCGTCGGCTTCGGGTTCTAATGTTATCAATCATTTTGGAGAGAAATTTGATCGATATGTCCACATTCAAGAAACCAAGGCGAAGATGTTGAGTCGGGTGGACCAAAAAATGATTAAAGTGCAAACGTCATTTCAAGAGGCGCAAACGATGTTTCAAACAAAAACCAACATGGAGATTTTGAAGAAGAAAGCGGACGATCTCGAAAACGAAGATTTGGAGATTTTTCTCACGATGAAACAGTCGGTTTGAGCGAGATATAAAAGTTGGTGGTAGTTTTTTTTATGTATGTTTTGTATTTTTAGGTGTTCTATTTATATTTATATTACTATTTTAATTAATGTAATTTTTTTAATGTAATGTGGTAGTTTAATTTATTAAAAAACTAGTATTAAAAAAAAAATTATATGTTTTTTTAATGTATTTTTGAATTAATGTTTAATGATATGTATCTCATAGTTAGTAATATGAAATATGATTCGTGATGGGTATAACGTGTCACATAACATGTTGCTCATTTCATTACTTGGTGTTATAACACCATTAGGTGACATAACATGTTAGATAGCAACTTTTGAATGTAATAACGCTTGTTAACTAGTTGTCCATACCCATAACCAATTGGATGAATGTTAACACCATGTATATTTCCTAGATTTAACGGTATGGTTTGGACTTTGGATCTTTTCTAGATTTAAAGGTAAGGCTTTGGATGAAGGTTAACACCATGTATGATTATGTTTCCTATTTAAATAGGCTTTACTTTGATGTACAATGTAGCAAAAAATAGCAGCTTAATTACTTATTTTTCCCTTGTGTAATTTGACATACAATTATCAAGTCAAAGCCTTTTACATCACCCTCTTCTAGTCTTCTGTCCTCTGTTTTTCTCATGTTTCCACATTAGCAAAAACCCATATATTTCGCAACTTCGACCACAGAAAAACAGCAACATATATTTATCCTTTTATTTTATAATATTCAAAGTTCAATGCTATGACTGGGTATATTTTCAGATACAATGTTTTCATAAAAAAAACTAAATAAAACTTACCTTAATAAATTGATTTCTTAATCCCTTTGTTAACTTCAACTAAATTCAACATCGAGATAAACAAACAAAAAAAGTGTAAATATACAATGGAAATGATCAAAAATTAGTTGAAACTTACATTAAAAAAAAGAAGCCATAGGGGCTATAACATCATATGAATCTAAGAGTTTTAGACTTTGTTTTTCTACATTGATAAAGGAAGAAGCATCCTTCTCTTTTTTTTGTGGGCGAGTTTAACATGCTTTGTTACCTTCATACATAATAATAGCAACAATGTGACACTTCCTAATACTAAAGCAAGCTTCAATTGTCTGAAATATAATGAAACACCCGAGAAAACCAAAAATGCTAGAATCACAAGTTCCCATATTACAAAAACCACCACATCTACCCTGCATCCAAATAAATTAAAAGTGTTAACACGTTAGATTTTATTATCATTTTGTTAGTAAAAAACAATCAAAATCTATACAAGTGTTCATGGAAAGACTCAACTGAATCATATAATGATGATGAAGATTGATGATATTATCCTCTTCATACAACTTATGCATCAACTTGCTTGGGTGTGTTAGATAGTGTAAAGTAATGTGTTATGTAAATGTCAATTTTCAGCTTTCTGTTGAATGTTAATAACTTAATAATTACTTTCGTTATTCTATTCATAACTGCTAATATCACCAATAATTTGCAGCATATTGATCGGCTTTCTCCTCTAAAGCCGATGGTGAAAACAATCCAGAAACATTCTGAGAGGTGAAAGAGCTACAATACACTTGAGCTAATGAATCAATTTAACTCAAACAAAGCCCTAAAAACAAAACATCCATACGAAAACAATTGATCAAAGAAACCCTAAAATGATGGATATAGTACCTGGAAGTATACAGATTAGAACTGGGAGTAAATAAGGAGACGGATGCCCAATCATGCTTCGTTCGAATTTGATACTCTCTCAGCTGTTCCACCAGATTCGATCGCGTAATTTTCTTCTCTTGATGTGTAGAATTCGAACGCGATAACATAGTTGCGTTTCCGCCCTCTTCCACCGGTAAAAATATGTTCTTTATACGCTACAGTGGGTGACAGCGAACCTGTAGGTTATGAATTTAACAGATCCGTGATGAAAATGAAGATTATTAATACTCAGAAACCCTGGACGCCGGAAACCATCCGCAAGTAGCCGTCGGCGAGAGAAATCTGAACTACCGGCGGATGAAATCGGCGAAGAAGGGGGCGAGGAAAATAGAAAACGGTCGGCGTCGACGTTCCTTATTTAGTCAGCGGTTTAGAGATTATTCGTGATAACATATTCGCCCCTTGCAGTTTCGCACTTTTTCAAATGTGCTTGAAAATGCCTATATTTCACAAGAGGTATCTTAAAAAAATCTTCTTACAATTTTCCAGCCGTTAGGCATGTTGGATAAATAAGTTTTTAGCTTATTGCAATGGGAATAAACATTTTTTTTAAAAAGTGTTTAGATTATATTATTGTGGTGGGAATAAACAATAAAGAATAAGTATTTTTAAATGTTTGACAAACAAAATATATGAGTAAAATGACCAAAAAATGTTTCCTCTTATATGTTGACATATTTTTCTTATTCAAACAAAACATTTTTTTAAATAATAATAATAATTTTCTTATTCATAAGAACTAAAAAAAATTTACCACATTATTTTTACACTTATTTTTAACTTGATCGGATACACCTATCGAAATTTCATTCCAAAACCATAGAAGACCACAAATTTCATTCCAAATCCATATTATCCAAAATATCCAAAATAGTTTCATTCTACTACATTAAACCATAAAATGAAAATACTAAATCGTTTCAAAACAAATCATACGCCGTTACGTGCACGAGTGTTTGACCATGAGAATATATGTCCCGCAATCATATCACGTACTGCACTCATATACATATCGTCACTTCTACGTTGTGTACTTGATACTTCGTTATGTGGCTCAACACCATCATCGTGTCTTTCATCATTGCGCGGAATATAAGATTCTTCTTGCGCTATTTGAAATGTTGCATCACCACTACCACGCATTCTAATGTAATTATGAATTGCCATTGAAGCTAGCACAATTTTAACTTGCATCTCGAAGTTGAAATTTACATACATATCTCTTAGTAACACCCAGCGAGCCTTCGAAACTCCAAAAGTTCATTCAATTACATTGCGAAGTGACGAATGATAATAGTTAAATTTTCTTTGAAGCCTTTTGGTTCCCGCGAGGCACGAGTTTGTCCACGTCGAAAATCAGGAATATGATAACGGATGTTTGAACCTTTGTAGGGAGTAAGATAACCTTTTGTATTAGGATATCCGACGTCTACAAGGTAAAACTTACCTGTCGAGGTAAAAAATGATTGGTATTCATTTATACGGTTTGAAAATATAAAACTTCTATTAATAAGTAATGATACTAACCATCCGCTGGAAGTGGAAACTTAGCTTCACGTCTCCTTCGTGCTTCATTGAAAATTCCTGTGTCATGTGCAGACCCCTCCCATCCAGCCCACGAAAAGGTAAAGCACATGTTGAAATCACATACTTCCATAATATTTTGAGTAACGCAATTCTTTCGTCCAATGTATTTGATTTGCTCACGTTGCTGAACAGAGGCTTTCACGTGTGTTCCATCGATGGCACCAATACAATCCTATAAATTCAAAAAACATAATAAGTTACCAATTATTTTTACAATTACACAAAGTCGCCAAATAACATAACTTTGCAAAAAATAAGTACCTTGAAGTATGGATAATACCGAGGGTTATTTAAAATGTATTCTGGTATAGTTTCATTGTAGTTAGCATTTGGTTTGATGATGTCCTTACTTAGGTTAACCACAGCATCCGAGACTTTATGAAAATGTCTATGGATTCTTTCCCCAGAATGGTTAAAGAACTCTTGAATTAACCGATTTCCACATCCATGCGCTAAGTACAACAAAAAAATACCAACGGACTCTTCAATAGATACACGACATGATTTCTTTAACCCATAATGTGCAACAAGATCCCTACATAACATGTTGAAAACCAGGACTTGTAATCTGAAAAGTTGATAACATCGAGTCTCATGATCGTTAAGTATTTCATTGATAAGCATGCCTCCTGTACGTGAAGATGAATGGTGACGTCTACGTATATATTTCAATTTATGAGTCAATAGTAACTCTTTGACAGCAAGCCCACATAAAAGAAGTGTTTGAATCTCTTCATTTTCTTCAATTTCATCACGTAAGTCATCACTGTCATATGAGTTGTCACTTTCACACTCACTGGCCATGAATATAACCTGTTACAAAACGAAAAAGAAACTAGGGTAAGATTGAAATTCACCACATACTAGATAAAATCATGGCAACATAATGCAAAAGAAAACAACAGTAAAATCATGGGGCAAGGGCAAAATTGACCACAAAACAAACATGAAACGACATCGCATAAAACAAACACAAAACAACCATTTAAATGTTACATAATAGATGAAAAGATCTGTCTAACACATGACAACCGTTTAATGTCTTCCTAATACATAAAATCATTGAAAAGGAAACAAAAACAAGATCATGGGACAAGGGCAAAGTTTACCACAAAAGTAGACTATGTCTAACACATTACATAAAATGATAGGGCTAAAACATGACATAAAAGTAGACTATGTCTTCAACTACTTCTCTTTCTCTATAAGCCTCTTGAGAAACTCCATCATTGTTTCATTAGTCTTTGGAACCATAAAATTCTGACGAGTTGGCTTCTTTAAAAAGTAACGCTTCTAAATATCCTATTGAGCCTTCTTCAAAACCCGGGAAAGTAGAGACAATTGCCATGCAATCTTCTGTTGTGGGTGAGTGTGTGGTTTGTCTAGAGGGTTGAGTGCTCCTTGTTAACAAAACATCAAAAACAGTGTCCAGGTTTTCTTCATACGACGAGTAATCCATACTTTTTCCTTCATTTTTCCCTTCAAAACTTCTTTTGTTGTCACGCCTGGGAGTTAACTTCTTTCCCTTCCTTTTCATACTAGAACTATCATATGTGAGAAAAGGATCAACATCTTCAAATAAGCGGACTTCGTCAGTATCCACTTTCCATCTGTAATATCCACAAAATGTGCATCATCTGGAGTGCTACCATTGCCAAATTTGCAAGGCACCTTAGCCTTGTCTCCAACAGCTACGGTATCCCAAAATAAAGCCATGTAATATGTCTGATATAAATCCAAATTCTTATCCTGAAAGTTAGCATACTCTTTATCTTCCTATATGTACAAAATGAGAATGTCACGAAAAACACAATCCAAATAATATATTGTTAGATAAATTCTTTAATTATGACCTTTAATTCTCATCCCACCATTCCTTTGATGCTGAGATTATATTTCTCGTGGGATCAATTTAGATTCTCGTTTCTAGTCTTGTTAAATGGTCATAATATTTGAACTCTTTCCGCATAATGTCCCATTTGTTTTTCATTTTATTTCTATCCAATTCATTACCTGTTCGTTCCAAAATCCTCTTACATATATTTTCGCATGAAGGTTGATTGAAATAAGTATTTGGTCTATTCCCATTTTTTAGCTTGGTCATACATTCCTGATCGTCGATCGATGGCTGATGGGTTGATGAAGCTCATCAATGGCAGCAAGAGGAAGAGGGAATAGCGAACGGCAGAACTGATCGACCAAAAGGTTATGGGTTTATGTGTCGTTGTTTTGAAGGGTAATTAGGTAATTTCGGAATTCATTAAAATTAAGCAATAAGCAATAAGCATTCCCCCCTTTCTTATTGAAATCAACTTATTTAGCTTATTTTGACCACATAAAGCTAGTTTTTTAAGCATCCTATCTAAACACTTCAAGTTAGCTTATTGTGGTGAGAATAAGCAATAAGCAATAAACAACCACTTTTTTGCCTATCTAAACACCCTCTTAATGTTGTAGAGGAGGTGGAATTGGCACTCATCCATGTTGATGAGGCAATTGGAACACCGCCCGGCTATAACACCGCATGGATTCATGTGGAGATGGAGACGTTTCTAAACTTAGGTGGAGAAAAGAACCATTCATATTACCATTGTTAAATCGTTCGGAATTTTAAAAAAATACATGTAAATACGTATCATCTTACTAATTTTTTAAATCCGTATTGTCTTACTCATTTTTTACAACATTCTTTTCATTCTCTGTATTTTACACAATTTCACAACCTCAAAAAAAAAAAAAAAAAAATTGATCAAAACTTAAACACTCATCTATCAAACGCAAATGCACACCAAACACAACCTCTCATATAGGATTCACTCAATAAAGGGGTTATATTAACCTACTATACCATACCAACAAACTTATTTCAATCACATATCACCTCCAATACAATTCCTTCACCATCATACTTCCAACAAAACGTTTATGGGCAACGACCAATATTGCACCGAAACTTTTTTTGTACATCATCTTTCATACCAAGTTTCCAAACAAAAACAACCATTTAACCAACTTCTACCCAACAACCACCACCTACAAAACCATCAGTAGAATTTGTTACCAAAACTCAAGTTGAAGATAGTAGGAAAGGGAACAGGATAACAAAAGCGAAAGGGAAAATCAAAGATAATTAAGATGGTCCATAATGGTGGATTCTAGAGGATAAATTTTTGATAGCGGAAGTATGGTGTGGGACATCAAAAAAAAATAACACTCAAGGAAATGGTATGAAGAAAAAATCCTTGTAGGAAGTGATACTCCAACAATTTCATGCTTTGCTGAAAAAAAAAACATGCGTAACACAACACCTATACGCTAAGTAATGAACGAGAAGAATTGAACAAGAGGTGCACCAAATTCAAGTAGATCTAAACAAGCTTTATTTGAAAAAGGAAAGTGACTGCAATGACTTTGATGTGTTTAAAGCCGCAAAAGTTCAATATCGATGGGAGATGGGTTATATTTTTGGTTTTGATAGACCATGGGAGATGTTGAGAAGAGAACCAAAATGGTATTAATGTCCAACTTCGGTGGAGGGGCAATCTAAGAGGTCACAAAATTCGAGTCCGGTCGACATTTCCAATACACGAACGTACACTGACCTCAACGATGATACACATGAAATTTTGGATGACATTGAGGAGATCTCCCTTCCTCATCGACCGGTAGGAAATGACAAGACAAAGCGAGCGGATAAACATGCGAAGGATAGTGAAAGGAAAGCGAAGCACATGACAGAAATAGAAGAGAAATTCGAGGAGCACATTGTAGTGCAATAAGAAAAAAAAAACGTGTTAAGACTTGGGCACTAGAAATTATTTGAAGTGTAACACCTATTTCTGGAATTGCCATGCAATGATTTAAGGAAAATAAGAATAAATATTTTTGGGGAAACCCCCTTAATCACGGTGTGAGTTTGGTGGATACAATACAGTGTGCCTAAGTGTGATGTTGAAGGGTTTTGATACAAAAATAAATAGTTTTTCACAAGAACCGGCAATGAAAGCTTTAAATTTTTCTAGTAAATTTCAAGTATATAACAAAACCAAAGCCATCAAGGATCCTCTTAAAGAGTTTAGAATGATATAAAACAACCATAGGGTGTTTAGAGATGACAATCTTTGATGCCTTTGGACCCTCTTGGAATTTGGGGTGTTAAAGTAGATAACAAGAACAATAAGTTTGATCTTCTCTACAAGTAATCCACCAACAAGAATAAGGTACCCAAAATGCTAGTTGTCTTCTTGTATGAATTTCTTCTTTAAGCCTTAAGTTCTTAAACAATTAAGTACTAAGGGAAGATACAAGGTAAGCACCAAATCTTCACAAGACAAACTTCAAAAGAAGATAAGTATAAGCCAATAAAAGCTACGGCTTTTGGTGAGTATTAGCGAGAAAATGTAAAACAACTAGCTCATTTCTCATGAATAAGAGTCTCTTTTATAGTCGCATGCAAAGTAAGGCCTTTTGATTATAATACTCTAAAGTATTATAAAGCATAAAGCAACAAGGGCAAGGCATGGATGCAAGGTATGGAGGTTGACAAGTAGCCTCCATGTCTCCTAAAAGTTTCCGCCATATAGGTCAAAAGAAGAAAACAAAAGATCATGACTAGTTATATTAACCAAAGA